GCATAAAATGCGAGTTTTACTAGCATAATCGGGAAAGGCCTACTAGAGATGACAATGACTCAGTTGAATTTTGCGTCATTACTTCAAAAAATGAAGAGCTAGGGCGGCGCTCAACTGAAATGTTTGAAATATGAAGCGACAAGGAGTGTTGTGCTCCTCCCTGGAAGAGATGCTCAGTGCATTGCTGGTTAGCTTCCAATACTTTGCCAAGTAACTCAACAAGTATCCTTTAAAGGCATTGTGAGAGTAAAGTGCCTTACCCAAGAACACAACACAATGTCGCTGACCAGAACTTGTAGCTCCACCCTCCCCGCTCGATCCGCAGTCCAACACGCTTGCAATTAGAACATCCCAACACCAAATCAAATCAAATCTTTATTCACACTATTTTGATTACATAGCAAAACAAGTACAGAAAAAGTAGAAAGCAAATGTAGGTTATATCAGAAAGGCATATGAGTTTTAAATCCGTGCGCAGCAACCAAAGTAACAGAGCTTTCCAGTTGGCTGTCTCTTATTCACAGAAAAAGTAAGCATAATTTACAGTGAACTATTACATAGGAAAGAGAGGAGTTATAAAAACTATGAAAACAAACCATACTCATTTACTATTATAGATTATATACAGTGCACAATCCTTTTTTACAATTTCTTAGTATAAACAACCAAAGATGGGTAATAGCAAGAGATAATAATCTCTTGATTTCTCTAATGGTTTCCAGGGGCAAAGCTAAAGCTTTCATTCACTCACTGATAAATTGTCTCTCATTTCAGTCGTTGGAAATTTTAAATGTAGTTTTCAAATAACGTAACCAACTTTCTTGGAGTTCTTAGGAAGAGGATGGCAAAGGGGAGGTCAATCAATCAATCGATCGATCGATGAATCTATCAAGGTTTGCTCTCATTATGTTTAGTTCTTTGTTTACACTTTCTCCGTGAAAGTGCTTTTGTTTTAAGTTTTCTCATGAATTTATTGAGAGAATTCGAGGAAAAGCAAACAGAGAGTCAACAGCAAGCGGACGTTTACCGTTGAAGGTGATACTTATTCTCCCTGTTGGCTTTCCTTTGTTACTTTTTTGCCGGACAGTAACGCAACTTATTGCTGTGTTTGGCCCATTTTCTTGATCTTCTCAAAGTTTCTTACTGCCTTTAGCTTGAAATGTTTCATACAACATAAACTTAACTTACTAAAAGTCACCTGTGCCTTGCTACAACAGCCCAGCTTCACCGCTGGGCGCTGCCGTGACAGAGAAATACGGTAAAATAAAGGATTCAGGAGTTTGGGGACGAAAAAGGCTCCCAGAGTCGGTCTCTTTGAAAATGATAAAAAGAATACAAAATCATATTTCACGAAGTATTGGGTTTTCAATTCTACTTTCGCGGGAAATTATCATGCACTTGAGGCCAAACTAACGTTAATATTTAACGAAGTATAGTTGTCAACATGATTTCCAATACCGAAAGTCTATCATCAAAAGGAAATCGAGAAATTCTCACTGGTTACTTGGCTACGCATACTGTTTTCATTTTCTCTGTAGCCGGACACAAGAAATTTAGAAACAAAGCAAGCGTAAAGTTGGAGGAGGGTGAGAGGGAAGGGGAGAGACCGAGGGCTGATGAGAAACAGCAGAGAAAATTTACTTTGGACTAAAGTACAATTGTATAACATAACAAAATTAATTGTTAAAGCTCAGGTGTAATATACTGGTATTATTTTTACGACGACGGCCTCAGTTTCATTTCAGTAAATTTGAGTGAGACATACTCATTCTTCCAGTAGTACCAATTGACACCCCGGGAACTACTTGTGTCTCCCAGGTATTTTCCGTTTAGATTGGAGTAGTGGCAATTGTTGTACCACCAGGCGCCAGTATATTGTACAGCACAGTTTTTACCGCTCCGTCTGTCATTATCTCTGTCCTTCACACTAAACGCCATGTTATTATGCCATGCTAACGAATCTCCCGCTGTCCCTGAATATGAACCCACTTCAAGTCGATACTGCGCCTGCTCATCGCCAATCTTGAACTT